CTTTCCTTTATACTGGATAAAAATTAAATAAATTTTCACATTAATATTAAATATTTAATTTTTAAAAGTTTCTTAAAGTATTTCATACAATATTAATATACATATCTACTTTAGTTTGACGAATCTGTGACCTAAGTTTCATTGTAATTGCTGGTATCACCTCTCGTAGCTTAGTGGTTACAGCACTGATGCGTAAAGCCAAAAGTCCTGGGTTCGATTCCCGAAGAGGGTCACAGTAGCCAAAATTTTTCGTTATAAATTTGAGGTAATTTGTAGAATTAAATGAACTTTCACATTAAATAGTGTTTTGTTTTATTTAAAGTCACCAATAAAGTCAAAAATTTTTGTGTTTATAAATGTCAACTAACAAAACTTTTAAAATGCAGAAATAAAATGGAAAATGAAATTTCATTCGAAGTTATGGAAAAATAACAATAAAGTGAAAGAAAAGTTGATGAAATTTTTCAAGTTTAAGAAACTCGGACAAGAGACTTTAGAAGGATTGAAGTTTGAGCACCGTACAGATCAACAATTAGAAACCGAAAAAAGAATCGAAAAACAAACTCATGTCGAGCCACAAAAACAGGGGCAAAAAGATGAAGAATTTTCTAATAATCCTGTTTTTCAACAGTCAGCTCTCAGACGTTTAAGAAAAGAAACTGAATCCGATTCTAAGAACGAAGAAGTGACCAATAATAATGAAGAAGACGAGGATGATGAAAGATCGGAATCGTTTTCAAGCATTCTCTTCGATTTTCTTTTAAAAAAAGTGCAAATTTTTAAATAAAATAGGTACTATGATAATGAAAATTGTTTTTATTTCAATATATTTAGTTCGATTATTAATTAATATCGACAGATAATAATCAAGATCGGTTATAACTACATTTCAAAAATGTAAATATAAAAAGTACCGACCTAATGTTTGCGACAAAACACAATTGTACATGTAACTGTAAAAGCGTAAGAGGACATGAAAGATAAGATTAAAAAAAAAATAGAATGATTTATCTCGCAAAATGTATACTTCCAGGCACCTCATTATACTAACAAATTTCTTGTACTATTATATCGTAAAATAAAAGTAAAAACAGTGACAGATACTGAGAACGTAATGCGCAAAAAAAAGATGTATTAGGTATGACGACGAAAAAATGTATTTTAAATAAAAAAAAACACTTTATTATTATACTTTTGCTGTGAATAAAAAGATGGCCAATTATTTACGGACATACGGCACGTATTCTATTTTTCGTACTGCCTCAAATGTATAAACAAATAATAATTTGTATTTGTAAATGTGTGTGTCGTACCTGCGCTTTGGGAAAGCAGTTAAACAGTTCCAAAGAAAAAAGAAACTATCCGCATGTTTCGAGAAGGCTCCCGAAAGTAAACAAAAGAGTATTTAAAGGAAAAGACGATCGCCGAGAAGAGTAGAAATAAATTGACAGTGATAGCAGTGAAATAAATAGCGCAGTGAATAGTGATATATCAACAGTAGTGTAAATAAATAGAATGATTCATAACCTAAGTTTAGTAATAATTTAATAGTGTTTTTAAGTTCTTCAATAATTACTGTAAATAAACAGTTTTTGTCGTTATCAGTATTAGAAGTTAATTTTGTTAAACCCACGAACATTACAATACATAAAAACAAATGTAATATGCATTTTAAACTAAAAACTTACCTTGTATTAGTGAACTATTGAGCCATTTCACGTAATACGAATTCGGATAGATTATGAGTACCTCGTTGGACACTATGGAAATCGGTAACAGAAGAACAGCCCCAATGGAGACGGCAAGAGAAAATGTGCACAGCCATGTGCTTATTCTATACACTGTCACCTCATCCTCATCTGTGCTGTAAAAATCTTCGCGTCCCCTTCTTTTAAATCTCCCCAAAAGGGCAAAACTGGCCAGATAAAGTAAAATGAAAAGCAGCAAGAAAATCTGTAAAAAAAGAAAAAATTACTGTTGTAATAATCAAGTTTTCTTGTTAATTGTAGCAAAACATGAAACGATTTTGTTCACGCACAAATACAAATAGAGAAAAATAGTAGTTGTCCATTTCAAATTTGGGCATTCCTTGCACGAATACGACTGACAGAACAAATTGTGTACTGCCAAACATTCATTTCATTCGTCAACTGAGGCAGATTATTATCTACACGCCAAACCAGCACAAGTAAACTAGAATTGGGCCAAGGACCAGCAACCCTCAGGTTTGGGCCTATCCAAATACTTAGCAAAGATTGGAAACTGCACAACGGACCGAGCGTGGGCGCCTCGCTGTACAACCCCTTAACCCTGCATGCGACCTATTAACCAATTACCTCTTCGAGTCTGACACCGATTGATAAGGGAGGAACCGAAGCTGGACTCCTGGGAACCTCCGTCCCCAAAAGTATGTGTATAGGCATGCTGGTAACCTCCGCTACTCTGGAGTACCACTCGCTGACAACCCATTGACAGAGGAGGATTCGAAGCTGTACTCCTGAGCACCCCGTCCGCAAGGTATGAGTATGGGCATTCCAGTGGCCTCATCTACTCTGGAGTACCACTCGCTGACACCCATTGGCAGAGGAGGGTTCGAAGCTGAACTCCTGGGCACTCCCGTCTCCAAGGTATGAGTATCGGCATTCCGGTGGCCTCATCTACACCGAAGCACCACTCGCTGACCCCCATTGACAGGAGAGAAGCCGAAGTTAGACCCCTGAGCATCCCCGTCCCTGAGATATCAGTATACACATTCCGGTGGCCATCAGCTACTCTGGAGCACCACTCGGTGGATGACAACCGTCTTACCATATCACGCTCTCCGAACAGTATTTAGACTCCTGCTAGCCTGAGCTATTGTTTTTCGGCTCTATTCAGCTTTCCCCTTAAAAAATACACCCTCCCTCTAATGAACCGTATCCAAACACATGTACCTACACTATCCTGCAAGTATCACGTCGTAATCTCCCTAATGGATCACGTTACGCCACATGATGTATTCCACTTTGTCAGAACGATGACTTCACCTTGAGCATAAGTGTACCTTTCTCAACTACTTTTTCTTTGGTGTTGTTGATCAAAAGTCTTCGCATTTTCCAGAAAGGAAAACACTCAGTAGTGATAAAGACAATTGCTTAATATTAGTAAGTCAAAATAGTAAATAATTAATGCAGCATATGGAAAACTGCGAGTGCATTTCAATTGTATTGCGTAGACGTATTGAATAAACATTCTGCAAACAATAAAGTAATAAATAATAACAATAAACCAACAAATTTGCATAGTTCCATTTTTTCTTGGACTAGTTTTGGCGAAAGCAACTTCGGCCGCGTGAAACTATTTCTAATTGTTTATAATAAACACAATTTTTATAGCACTTAAAAAAAATAGCCTAGATCACGGGTCAGCAAACTTTATAGTCAAAAGAACAAGGAAAGCAAGGGAACAAAGGCATTCCATCATCATCATCATCATCATTATAGGGTCACCAATTCGAAAACTGGTTGGAAACAAACCTTATCCTGATTTTCCCGTTTCCTAAAAACTGAAACATCTCATCCTTAGCTACTTTAAATGCAATGCCCTATTCTGAAAAATTCAAACGTGACGTGATCTCCCTACTATAAAAAGGGCATTTATCGTTTGGAGAGACCTTTGAGTTAATAAGCGTGGCCGTAGCTTACATGACCCTGGAAATCCTAAGTTTAGAACAGAGGTCTCATTGCGATTTACATGCAAAGTGAGAGATGACATTCGTTAACTAGATATTTTGCTGAACTATTTCATACCTACAACTTTTCTCAGTGAGCTTTAATCCCTATTCACAAAAAAAAATGTAATACCTACATGGGCATACTTGAACATTTTAGAGGCTTCAGATTTTTACCTACTGGGTTTCAGTTTTAAAGTGATCCGACTTGTAATTCTCCGAAGCCTTCTGGAATCTCATGTTATTTTTAATCCCTTATCGCATGCACACAATATCAGTAAGCAGTTTTGCTCATATTCAAACACCTTTTTTTTGTAACTGATCTTTACGTAACGGTTTCACATTTCTGTACAATAATCACCCAAGCTGAACAAACAGACATATCGAACTACTTAATTTTGTCTGGTTTAAAATTATAGTAGGTAACAATTGATGGCATTATAAATAAATAGATAAATATATTTTGTAATGTTCCATAGAAAGCTGAGGAAAAAGAAACGTTTAATATTAGATCAAACTTTTTTCAATCTTTACTATCGATAGTTAATTTTTAGAAATGAACAGTGTAGCAGCAAGGTACTTTAATAAAATAATAAAATATTTTCTGGGGATCTAACAATTTAGGATTCACATTTATTACTTTTCATTATTATTAAGTCATTCTAAAGTAGCTATAGGTATAATACTGCAACTAGTCTGGCCAGGGAATTCCAGAAGTAATGAGAATCAATATGTCGGCTAATTGAACTTAATGAACGGATTATCGAAAATGATAACGTTTTATCTTTAGACAGAGACGATAGTGTTCAGATGAATTAATCCAAAATAGAATAAATATACACACTGCGTGTTGATACATATTGTAGCGACCACGAGCGTGATTGTGTGCGATCGAGCATACGTGTGTGTGAGCGGCTTATCGATTCGCCGACTAGCCGCGGGAGCTTTTCTTCGTGTGCGCCGTATCTGTACACGTGTGTGTCGTACCTGCGTTCCGGAAAAGCAATTAAACCGTTAAAAGAAAACGAGACTTCTCTGGACGGCTGGAGAATGTTCCCGAAAGGTGGCACGGGAGTATAAAAAGGAAGAGACGATCGCAGGAGTAGAAATAAATTGACCGTTGCAGAGGTGAATCAAGAAATAAATTGACAGTGATAGAAGTGAAATAAATAGAACAGTGAATAGTAACATTAGTGTAAATAAATAGAATAATTTCCGAAGTTTTGTAATAATTTAATAGTGTTTTTAAGTTTAATAGTAATTAGTGTAAATAAATAGTTTTCTTCGTAAAATTTAATTTGTTAAACCCACGAACGTTACAATATGTACATTTTTAATACAAATTACAAACCATCCTGTTGGAAGAACATAATAGTTGACTAGACAACACATTGGGTACATATGTGGGAATGTATTATAAAATAAATTAATTTTGCATTGTTAAAAGCCGTACCCAGTGCTCACATAAATATGTATATATCAGATGTATACAACTAACTATTACACCCAGAATAATTTACTATTGTCCTGTAAATCAGCACATTGTATACTTGTGGGCGATTTAAAAATAGCACCACATAAAGCTTGTGAGATTCATTCAACAGTAAGCGTAAATATATTCCCTGAAGCATAAGTCAAATGAGGTTCATAATTGGCTACTTTGAATAGAAAGTTACCAAATATTACGCAAGGAAAAAATGATACAAAAAGTTGTTTTATAAAAACACAAAACTGCAAGTAGATAGTTTATTAGAAGGCTCACTTCAACCTCGGAATCATAATAATTTTATCACGTATATGTTGACAGCAGAGATGTGATTTATTTGAAAATACCTGTTTTTATCTTGCATTTAAATACTTTTTTAAGAAAATAATATTGTAGTTTATTTAAAATACTTTTCCAAACCTATTTTCTATTTGTAAAATGCAAAATACATTTTTGCCTTTAAAAGTTTTGATAATATCACCGATCAAACATTATATAAAATGATGAATGTTGTTGTTGTTGCTCACATTGGCTTTAGAAGCTTAAAAAGGGGGCAAAGAGACATTCCATGAATGCCTTGTAATTCCTTAACTAAAGAGAATCTAACTCCCTTGAAATGGATAATTTAAAATATTGGATGGATATTATTTTTCGGGTTCATTGTCATGGTCCATGGAATTTTGAAGTTCCAAATTGATATCACACACCTGCCAAATCACCACTTACCGTACCTTTAGCAAAATTACGAAATTCTAATTCGTAAAACAATATGGAATTGATATATATATAGGTAGATACCTGTTTTTTATAATAAACACATCAAGATGGTCCAAAGAAAACCACGTGCATGGAAGACATACAAAAACACAAATACCGATTACTACGCAATCACCAACTTCTTGACATCATACACAAGACAATCAAAAATGAACTTCGTGAGGGAAGTCATTACTCGGGGCGGCAAATAACCATTTTGTTACGGAGTCAAATACAGTCAAAATCAAACGTTATATAATTATATCCTATAAGAAATCAAGTAAAAAATCTAGTCACTAGTCAAACGGTTATAGTCCAAGTGTTAGTAGAGGAGTTCCAGAAAATTTTCATAGTGAAACATGAACTTCTAAACGGAGTATATGATGCAGCGGACTTCATTCCTGCCACCAACTCCTATGCTACTGCTACAGCTTCCACTTTGAAGGAAGTTAGTTTTAGAAACAAAAATATTGCCCCGCTTAGACCTCGACACCTCTCCTGCCCGGCCTCGATGAGATACCCCCAACTTCCTGATGAACTGTGTGACAAATTTAAACCCAATACTGGGGAACCTATTCAAAATATCAGTGAATACAGATGTCCTTCCATCAGCAAGGAGAGATGCCGTAGGAATTCCAATCATTAACGAGGACAAAATGGAAGCACTTATTTATAGACCTATCAGTCTTACAAGCTCGACAGGTAAAGCTATAAAGCGTCTCAACGTCCGAAACATTCAGGACTTCGTCTCAAAGAAGAACATCATCCCTCCTCAACAACATGGCTTCATGTCACATCAAATCTGCTGTCACATATGGACTTCTGGATAACAATCTCAAATGTAGGCAGAACAACGGTAATGGTTACCCATATAAGACTCATGAAGAAACTCTTTTAATTAGGCATTGGAAAACGCCTGATCTGGATTCGAAACAATATTATGATTGGAGTATTCAGAGTCCGACTCAGCCCCCCGCCAGTCTTCAGTGAGGTGCTAAAACGATCTGTTTTACACCAGCTACTGTTCATTATGTAGAATTTATGATTATACAAAACTGTTTGCAGAGTTAATTCTGCCTCACGCCCAACTGCAGGCTGACTTCCACACAATAGTGAACTGGTCTAGGAAATGACTCATCCCGTTGAACGAATCTAAATGTGGAATTTTATAACTGGCGGGAAAACCCCCCCGATACGCTTATTTTCTAGGCGGCTCCGTAATATGTATAGCCAACGACTGTCTACTCAAACTTCGGTACCACCATAACGGAAAACTCGAAGTGGAATATTGCCTCGCTTAGACCTCGCAGTAGAATCAAAAAATGAAATCAACCGTTACACAAAAGGCAAATATAATATCCTGTATCCTGACCAAAGCATTTGGCTCGTTGAATATCCAACTGATAAAAATCAGCCTGAAGACTTATGTCCGCCCTATTCCGAAAAATGCTTGATGTGGTCTCCCTACTATAAAAATGGGCATTTATCGTTTGGAGAGACCTTTGAGATCAGTTAATAAGCTTCCTCGTAGCCTACATGACCCAACGAGATGCGCTACCCTGGAAATCCTAACAGAGATCTGCGATCTCATTACGATTTACAAAATCATTAACAACTTGTAAGACATTCTGGAACTACGAGCAATTTCATCAATAATACAAAATTGTTGACTGAGGTCAGACAGCATTAACACTTTGAAAGAGGAGGAACCATCAACGTACACAATACTTCCTAGCGAATAGGTTAGTAAACATAGCTACAGCTCCCAGCAATTGCACTGGTTCAGGTAATCTAGAGTTGTTTAACCCTAGACTGGACCAATACTTCACTGTGTGACTGTATAATCAAAACTTACAGCAAATACTTTTAGAGCCTGTTGTTCTTTGTTATCTCATATTTTTGATCTGTTCACAGTTGTTAGCTTCTGTCATATAAACACGGATAGGTACATGAATAAATAAATTTACTACTACAATTGTTTCGTCATTGGGTTTATCAAGTGGATAATTTGTTATATATTATTTCTTAAAATGTATGAGCCTTTTGAATCGTAGAAGGGATATGAATTAATTTTTTTAAACGATTTCTTTTTAATTTTATTTTTGATTCTTCGACTAGTTTATTTAAATTTTGAAGATAAGTACATAATTTAAAAATGATAGTCACGTAAGTACATATTTTTTTTAAACATACTCACAACTTTCATTCAAAAAAAAATAATAATACCGAATGAAATGAAAATAATTTCCTTTTTTTTAATAGATACCTAACCTACCCTAAAATCAAAAGTAGAGTATAAAATTAGAAAAATCACATGAATTTTTGATAACAAAACAAACTATTCTATTTTCAGATATAAGAAGCTATAAATAAACTAATCGTAAGCTTTAAATTATACTACGGATATGAAAATCAAAAGGTCACTGATCTTTGAGGTCAAGAAACACCTTTCAAGTGCAGAAATATTAACATAAAATTACAAATAGGTACCCAATAAAAGAATGGTAAATTGATACAAAAGTAGGTACTTACAATTTGTTCTCGAACATTGTTATGAAAAATTTGCTCTCTTAAATCTGCTTCATCTTCAACTTCATCCATTATACGCCAAACTATAATTGATAATTTCTACATTCACAGAGTACATGAGCTCTTACACATATCGGCTATTCAACTACCGAGAATCAAAGTTAATTCTTTTAACACTGTTTTTAAATGGCCCACTTAAACAAGCGAGAGAAATCTGTCACGTTAATAATCGTTTAGCTTGAATTTCAACACGAAATGCACTTATGCAATAGAAAATACGATTAGTGAAACAATACTGATGTACATACTCGAACAGAAACATGTTTTCAAAATTTCAACCAACACATTCTAAGATAAGATTTAAAGTATTTGAAGTCGAAGCATAAAATAAACATCACTACGTTCACGCTTCTGATTGGACGCAATACACTACAAACCTCAAAGTAATTAATGACAGTTCGACAGTTGATGCTGCTATATATTATGTTAACGAACGGTATGCCCATAGATAAAGATAGGTATGCTAAACAATCTAAACACTACTCGCTGGTTCCGATTATGTCGTAAAGACCGTCACCGTATAGAATGTTCACAGATAGTCAAAATATTGTATTTATTACATTACATACATCCTGCATATCCTTCTGTGTCGAGGTGCTTACATGAGAATGTAGAATGTACCTTTCTATCACACTATTAAAAAAAATTAAAACCGCGAGAGTATGAAATAAACAGGAATACATGGTAAAGATAACACTCACTTTGGTTTTGAAAGAAGCCATTGCTACTACGTATTCGATGTCGGGTACGGAGCCACTTCTATTATTTTAATATTCTATGAAAATGTTCTCAATGGTAATCCCAAATAATCCACAAATAATTAAGCTATCTGATCTGATGAACAACCAAAATCAAATGTAAATAATAACGCCTTGCTTTTTAATACTTACATTGCTAGTAAAAGCTAAATTACCTTTCAAATATGTAAACATTTTCAGATATCGTTTGATTTTATAAAAATTGCAATGAATCTTGGAGCAATAAATATTTCTATTACGATACTGTTCCAAATTAAGAATAACAACGGCGCGATTTTCAAATCAATGGTATTATTTAATAGGCTTATTGCTTACTAAAAAGCAAGATGTAGACAAAAAAAAGATGATTATCTAATTACGTTCTTTATTAATTATATATTCGACAGTAAACTAAATGAATTGCGTTATCTTATAATTTAAAAGCAGGGCAGCTTTGAGTCCTGAATATTGAGCCGTGGCGAGGTATTTTTTTGTATTAACGTGGTACTTGGGTTATACTTCACCAAAGTTTGTGTGACCAGTACTTTGTGCATGCTGTTGGGCTTGGGCCTGTCCACTAATAAAAACATTACATTCCAAACATTTCAGCATAAATTTGTTTACGTCTGTAAATTGTCTGCTGGACTTTGCTTCAATGCCAAGTTGTAAAGCCTCTTCCAGAAGTCTTTCGTCATCAGCACTGAAAATTGTTTGTATTTTCTCTCCCTTTAATAGAATAAAAAAAATGTTACGAGATGCAATTATGAATATTAAATAAAACTACCTGAGATGTTTCAAGGTAAAGTGGATCATAATGTATGCCATCAAACATTAAAAACACTCGATGTGGAAATTTCTGATCTTCTCCAAATCTATTTATGATTCCATTAACTGTATCTACTACAGCAACTTCTACTCCGTAGTAATTGGCAAGTACTGACAGTTCTATTGCTCCACCCCATGACTTTTCATTTAATATCCAAGTGGCATATTCATCATTTGGTTTTCCTAGTATAGCCTCTGAATATGTATCAGGTTCACTTAACACAGAATGTGATACAATCTGTCGCATATAGGGTGCTACTTCTGATGAATCTCTTAAAATACCACTTAATACAAAATTCAAACTAGTAAATAAACACGAATTATCCGCAGGCACTATTTGCTTCATAAGAAATCCAGGAAGATCATTGTTAAGCTTCTCTTTACATTCTTCATTCTCATTTTCAGGATCTGTACTTACTTCTTGTACTGGTTCCTGAGACTCTTCAACAATTAATATTTCACCTGAAGACAGTCCTGAATCTGCAAGTAACTTACTGTCACCAGAGAGGTCAAACTTTTTGGGAGGATACCCCGACAAAATAATTAAGCGGCTTACAGGTATATTCGAAATAACGGATAATTCTTGCTTCAGTTCTTTTATAGTACTGTCAGATGTTAAGCCCTTAAGAACACGTTGACCCGTTTTTGTTTTCACTTTAAGAATCAAGCTCGTCATTTTGCTGTACGCACTTCGAATGTTCTAAAATTAAGTGACTGAAAATAATTTTAATTTTTATTTATTAATTTTGATAATTCCGAATTTTTAATAACTATTATTAATTTTTATATTAAAACAAACTATAGTTCATTTACTATTGGAGATGGTGTAGTACTTTGGTACCACTGTGGGGCTGAAGGTCCTACGTCACATTAACAAATGAACTGTACTACGATTTTCTTTAAAACAATTTTAATATTATTTTTCATTTTTAATTTACTCAGGTTAAAAATTCTTCAAACACTATATTGTATAATGAAAAGTAAACTAATTATAACATTCATACAACAATAACGATATTCTATGATTATTCTAAAATGAAAACATAGACAACATACACAAGATCATAGACATATATTATCGGACGTGCCTTAGCCGTATTTCACTGTAATAATTTCTTGGCTCGAAAAGTGAGGGAGATGGCGTATGGTTTCGGACTAATGCTATCTCTTTCATGACACGCTTACGCACCATCATGAGAGAGATGGATATTGTCCGAAATTTCTCTCCATCTCTTTCTTTCGTTGTACCACAATTCTGACCGCTAAGGTACGTCCATTAGCAGACGTCGATGGACAAGATAAAAATTACGAAAATGTGAGACTGTCTATAATGTAGGAGTTGGGGAAATGCAAAATCAGTTTCTCATCAGATCATAATAGATGATTATATATGTGACCATTAAATTCCTCCACTTCAATGTCTGTGACAGTATACTCATTGAGTTATGTAGAAACCATAGATGATGTAGAAACGTCAAAACGTTGTCCATACCTATGGTTGTACAAGTTAGGTTAGTTTCACTTGCAAACTAGCCGTTTTATTATAAGAAAGCTTAAATAAAAGCAGTATATTGTGTGTATTTTCAAAAACTAAAAGTACACTACCAAAATGCCGCGTGTTATGATAAAAGGTGGTGTTTGGCGAAATACAGAAGTAAGTCGGTTATTCATTATTTATACATCATTTTTAAATTATTACCCCTAGGATGAAATACTTAAAGCGGCTGTTATGAAATATGGCAAAAATCAATGGTCCCGAATAGCATCTCTATTACACAGAAAGTCTGCAAAACAGTGCAAAGCTAGATGGTATGAATGGCTCGATCCTAGTATAAAAAAGACAGAATGGTCTCGTGAAGAAGACGAAAAGCTTTTGCATTTAGCAAAACTTATGCCAACTCAGTGGAGAACAATAGCACCAATAATTGGACGAACAGCTGCCCAATGTTTAGAAAGATATGAGTATTTATTGTACGTACTATCTTCATTAAGGTGTTTTTTATTCTTATCATCCAGTATATTAATTTCAGAGATCAAGCACAAAAGAAGGAAGAAGGTGAAGATGCTGCAGATGATCCACGTAAACTTAAACCAGGTGAAATTGATCCAAATCCAGAAACAAAGCCTGCCCGACCTGATCCCAAGGATATGGATGAAGATGGTAAAATTCATTAACCATTTATCTACTTTTCTATAGTAACCTTATTTGTAGAATTGGAAATGCTTTCTGAGGCAAGAGCCAGGTTAGCTAATACTCAGGGTAAAAAAGCAAAGCGTAAAGCAAGAGAAAAACAATTAGAAGAAGCCAGACGATTAGCAGCATTGCAGAAAAGGCGTGAATTAAGAGCTGCTGGTATTGAGGTAGCATCTAGAAGAAGAAAGAAACGTGGAGTAGATTACAATCAAGAAATTCCTTTTGAAAAAAGGCCAGCTCCTGGATTCTATGATACCTCTAATGAAGTAATAGATCCAATGGCCCCTGATTTTGGAAGAATGAGGCAACAACAGTTGGATGGTGAACTAAGAAGCGAAAAAGAAGAGGTATTCTCTAAATCCTTTTACTTCCTCTCTTTTGCCCATTTAATTAGTTTATTTCCTGTTATTGTTAACTACTCTCTTTTATATACGTATCCTGAGACTATTCTGATCGTTTATTTTACTTTAGTTTTTCTGCTTTTGATTTCAACATTTTTCCAACTTCACACATTAATTTATATTTAATTCTGTGTCTGCGGAATATATATTAACTTTTAATTAGGTATATCATACCTTCGCTTTTTCAGAAAGAGCGACGTAAAGATAAACAAAAGCAGAAACAGCGCAAGGAAAATGATATTCCATTGGCTATGTTGCAAAATCAAGAGCCGGCTAAAAAACGATCAAAACTTGTACTACCAGAGCCTCAAATATCGGATCAAGAACTTCAACAAGTGGTTAAAATTGGTCGTGCCAGTGAAGTAGCAAAGGAAGTAGCTTTGGAAAGTGGAGTGGAGTCTACAGACACACTTCTCAATGACTACTCTCAGGCAGCAGCTACACCACGAACTCCTGCCCCTCAAACCGACAGAATTTTACAGGAAGCACAGAACGTAATGGCTTTAACACACGTCGACACGCCCCTCAAAGGAGGTGTAAATACACCTTTACATAACTCAGACTTCAGCGGAGCATTGCCTCAAACACAAGCAGTGGCCACACCCAATACGGTCTTATCTACACCTTTTAGATCGACAAGGAGCGATGGAGGTGGAACACCTAGCAGTGGTTTTAACACACCTAGGAGTGGAGCGGTTGTTCCTGCAGGGCAAGTAAGTATAATTTCATTAGCTAAATTACATCTTCTTAATCGAAAGTCATTTAATAAGGCTAACCAAACCCCAGCATCAATCAGAGATAAATTAAACATAAACACTGAAGTTTCGGACATTCGGGGAACTCCTGCGGCTCATAAAAGTTTAAAAGAGCAACTACGCGTCGGTCTCAGTGGTTTACCTGCCCCTCGAAACGACTATGAGATTGTAGTACCAGAAAACGAACAAGAAGAAGTCATCAATCAAGGAAATGAACAATTCATCGAAGATCAAGCAGATATTGACGCCCGGAAATTGGAAGAAGAAAAGGCTAAAGCCGCTCAGGAACTGGCCCTTCGCTCACAAGTCATTCAGAGAGATTACCCCCGACCACATGACGTTAACATGTCAGTCCTGCGACCTCCGCAAGAGTCCCACTCCTTAACCGAACTCCAAAAAGCAGAGGAACTTATTAAGAAAGAAATGGTCACCATGCTCCACTACGATAGCATTCACAATCCTATTCCACCACCTTCGCATCAATCCAAAAAGCAAACTGTAACCCAAGCTCAACAATTGGCATACTTAGAACAACATCCCTATCAAAAGTTTCGGAAAGAAGAGCTGGAATCAGCAAAACAATTACTCAAACGTGAAATGGATGTGGTTAAAAGAGGAATGAATCACGGCGATCTCTCTTTAGACGCGTACACTCAAGTATGGGAGGAATGTTTAGCCCAAGTGCTATTTTTGCCTAATCAGAATCGATATACACGTGCTAACTTGGCTAGCAAGAAAGATCGATTGGAATCGGCTGAGAAGAGACTGGAACAAAACAGATCTCACATGGCACGAGAAGCGAAAAGGGCAGCAAAAATGGAGAAAAAATTGAAAATATTAACCGGAGGATACCAAGCCAGGGCACAAGTATTAATTAAACAATTGCATAATTTATACGAACAAATCGATCAAGCTAATTTAGAATTGAGCACGTTCAAATTCTTACAAGAACAGGAGAAGAATGCACTACCCAGAAGAATACAGGTAACAATTTTTATTTTTGCAATATTGACGTTACATCATATGTTAGGGTATCACATAAAAAAATATTTTTTTTAGTCTCTCACGGAAGACGTTAATCGGCAGATTGAGAGAGAAAAGGCCCTACAAGCTCGATATGGTCAATTACAGGAACAAATGAGAGAATTGCAAGATATGATTAGCAAACAACAGTGAACTATATGTTAGTTTTCTTTTTAAATCCTATATAATTATATTATTAAATGAAATTTCAAAAACCTTGCTTTTTCAATTTTTATTATCGTTTATTTTCCACTATTTAAAATAATATAAAAAACTAATATACAAATTGTTACAATAATTATATCCTATAAATATTACTTATAATGCGTTTATGATAAAATTGTGGCATCACTTATAAATCACAAGATTTATAAATCGGATAAAAAACAAATCATAACAAAGATCACAGTATTGTTGTAAAATTACTTGAATAATTTAAGATGATAAAATAGGTGTGTAAAATTATTAAAAAAAGTCACAATTGTCGACTATTTATAAATTACAGTATCATTTCGTTCATTTTGCCCCAAGAATGGCCATATTTCAGTTTTATTGGAAATGGTATAGGAAGACTAACAGCGTTTTCCATTGATTTTTTTAAAATTTGGGCACTTTGTTTTAAGTTATTTTCGTGATGATGAATGATAAAATTGTGGCATCACTTATTATAAATCACAAGATTTATAAATCGGATAAACAACAAATCATAACATAAAGATCACAGTATTGTTGTTGTAAAATTACTTGAATAATTTAAGATGATAAAATAAGTGTGTAAAGTTATTAAAAAGTCACAATTGTCGACTATTTATAAATTACAGTATCATTTCGTTCATTTTGCCCCAAGAATGGCCATATTTCAGTTTTATTGGAAATGGTATAGGAAGACTAACAGCGTTTTCCATTGATTTTTTTAAAATTTGGGCACTTTGTTTTAAGTTATTTTCGTGTACTTCAAACAAAAATTCATCATGCAATTGTAATACTAACTTAGGACATTGTGACTTAAATTTTCTTTTAAAATTACAGGTTATTAATATGACAGCTTTTTTTGCGATATCAGCGGCTGATCCTTGTATTGTAGTATTAACGCTCTGCCTTTCCGCTTGGCCTATATTTTAATTAAAAAATTAATAATAACAAAACAAAAAGCCAAGTATTAAACTTACTTCTATCTGTAACATTTTCATTTTTTATGTTTGGCAAAAATCTTTTGCGACCTGCCAACGTTTCAACGTAACCCAGTTCTTTACATTTAGATATGACTTCGTTTATGAACTTCTTGATACCTGGATATTTCGAGTGAAACGTTTCGACAAATTCCAATGCTTCTTCCTCATTAACAGATAGCTGTTCTGCTAGGGCTTTTATTCCCATACCATAAATTATACCGTAACAAATTTGTTTCGCCCTCTGACGAAGGGTATCCGTTACCTAAATTGTAATTTTATATCAATAATCAAAGAAACTGAACTATTTAAAGCATACTTCTGATTCGTTGATATTATTAGATTTAGCTGCTATTGATTTGAAAACATCTTCGTTGGTCCTCATTATAGAACAAAGTGTTTTGTCTCCTGAAAGGTGAGCCAATAATCTAAGTTCTAATTGACAGTAATCAGCAGAGAGTAACAGACATCCCTTGGGAGCTACGAATGCGTCTCTGCAACTAATCAACAATTCTTCGTTTGAAATGGGGTTCACTATTTCAAAATTCCTCGGTATATTTTGTAAATTAGGTTCATGCATTGAAATTCTTCCGGTGGCGCTGTGAGTTATACAAGTACCATGAATGCGATCGTTTTGTACCATTCTTATCAACGGATACAACATTCTGTTGAGAGTGCTGTTCAACTTTCTCCACTGAATTATGATTTTGGCTATAGGATTATCAATCTTTTCAAGCACTTCCTTACTCGTACTAACTTTATTTCCTTTGTATAAACCCAAAACTTTCCCCACCTCTTTGGATGATGTGAACGAAAATCGTCTACCAGTTAAACTAAACGCTTGCCGTTCTAGAGCTAAACATTGCATTTTTAAAGAGTCAACAAGATGTTGAAGTATAGGAAGGCTAACACCTATACCATTCAGTTCCATATGGGTTAAACACAACAAGTGTTCCATTTCAGTTTCTTGAATTAAAAAACTTATACATATAATTGTAACAATTGAACTATTTTCAATTTTTATACTTACTATATGTGTCTAAAAGTTTTGGATTTTGAGATATTAAAATATTTTTAATTGCACCAATAATATACCACGATGTGATCGCTTCAATAGAAGATCTTAACTTTGAATCCACGCAATTATTAACATCTAAACCGATGCTGCTCACACCCTTGCTTGTCCCAGCAAATTCATTTAAATTCATTAAATTACAGTAGTAATGTAGAACCTAATAGTAAAAATAGTTACTAGACTCCTTATGAAAATATTTCCTTTATTACTTGCCATAGACCGCAAACTTTTTTCTTTTCCTTCTGGATCCAGTATCCAGTCACCGATTTTTGGATCTTCAATATAAGTAAAAACATTTAGTTCACAACAGCGTTTTAATATTTTAATTTGTTCTTTACAATCAAACATACACACAATTTTTGATCGATTTTCTAAAATATTTCTTAATATCTGTATTTTGTCTTTATTTTCAACTGCATTACAACCGAGTGACAAAAAATAGGAATTATTTTCACCCCACGAAAAACTCACACCCACCACTGCTTTTGTGTGATAAATAAATTCGCTATTTTTCGGTTTCTGTTTTGAGTCATTTAAACTATTTCGAGTGTAAAGTATATTCGATCCAATAGATGGTTTGTTTTCTGCTGTGGAATTACAAGCCACCGAAAGGGCAATTTTATTTTGCATCTTCAGTTCTTTGCAAAATGTTCGGAACAATTCTCTGTTTTCGCAAACATTTACTATGTTAATTTGTGAAAACTTGACAGATACGTCTTCTTCTTGAAATAAATTTACCATACTATTAAAATTTTCTTTATTATTATATTTATTTAAAGGAGACTTTGAAATTTTTTTCTTTTTAGAAGGTGTTACAACACTCGAGAAATCTGCGGATGATCTCATTTTCTTTGACTTTCTGCTGCACGATTGATCATTTGCGTATGATAAAACATTTTCTTGCGAATTTGCTATTAAATCATCATCAAATATTTCGTTGTTTTCTTTATCGGACAGTGATGTGTTTAAATCAAAACTAGTCAAAAAGGCCTTTTCAATGAAAGACATGTTAATTAATTCTTCTAAACCAGAATCACTAGAATTCTTTTTCTGTTCATTGAAAACGGGGACATTATGGTTTATCTGAATATTTTTATTATATGAATTTTGAAAGCTGGAATCACTGAAATGTAAATCAGATAGTTCAAAACTTTCTTCTTTATTTTTATTGTCTTTTGTTTGCTTTCGTTCTAATGAAGAATTGGCTGAAAGCTCAAGAGTAAAAGATTCATCTGAACTGATATCTTCTGTATTATTAAGTTTCGTGTCGTTCACTTTTTTATTGTCAATCGGAGTAGAAGAATCTTTAAAGGAAGTTTGAATTAATGTTGGATTTCTACTGTCTTTATTGATATTAGTTTGCTTGTCATTTGCATCGTTTTTGTTATCGCTACTCACTGTGATTTGAGTGTTCACTTCATTTTTTTCTAGTTCCTGTCCTTCAGTGTTCTCCTTTACATCATTTTTATCTACACTTAGTTCAACGTTTCTGTCAATTACATTTTTCTCTGGAACCACGTCCTCATCAAGACTCCATTTAGCATCCTTAAATCCCATTTCTATTTGTAAATAATTCCTGGCATCTTGTATAAGGATTTGTGAAAAATCCTTTTCAGTCAAACCGTCCATGCCAGTGATCCAAATATTCCTAATTTTATTTCGCTTTTGGGCTTCATATTCTGTCTCGCCATCTCGCTCTTTTTCACTCTCAAACGGAGCCATGGTATGAAGTATGTTTTCTATTTCACAAACATTAGATGTTGCTAACCGCGCCAGCGTTTCAATACCCCCATTATAAAGAGCTCTAGCCCTTGGACCATTTAAAACAGGTAGTCTCATTAAGTCTAAGAGATCTCTACTCACTCCAAACTGAAGTCTATCCTGAAATTGAGAAACGAGAATCTCAATACAAGACCAACCTAGTTTGCGACTAAATGAGGTAACCATACCGGCAAAAGTAGAAGCGGAATGTTGTAACGACTGCATCATGCCCCTGGCACAGTTGAATTTTGCAGCAACTGCGCCCAAGGGAACTTCGTTTACGAGATCCTGCAGTGCCAAAGCGGTGTAGAAACGTTTATGTATTTGTAATTTATGATATTCTTTTGAAGTATTTGTTTTATTTTTGCCTCTAGTGGCGCTAACAATGTAAGATTCACTAACCCCAACGAGTTCTCCAACTCGTTTCATGCACGCTGGGAGCTTCTCCCACATCTCGAGATATAGCATCCAATCAATAGTGCTCCACTGATTGCAAACAGAATATGGAGTCACTAAATAAATAAGATGTAACTCTGACTCAAGGACAAAACATTGCCTAGCTTTTTCAAGTTCTGTAAATAGGGCAAGACCTTCCTCAGGTGGTATTGAAGATGACAAACATGCTTTGGCAAGAGCTGTAGCAATATATTTAAGAGAGCCGTCTTCTTGCTCTTGCAATCGGATAAATTGATTTCTTTGTAAAAATTCAACTGAATCTTTAACGGGATTAGAAACACCAGTCTCATTTTCTGAAAATCCCAGCAATGTACAATTTGCAAACAGTTGTAGATCTTCAGATGTTGAAACGACCCCACTCGCTATCACCTCTAGAAGTGCCCTTTTTAACTTACCGGATCCTTCTAAACAGCTAATTACAGGATTTAACTGTGCTGATAATAATTCTTTAGCAATTTTTAAATCTTTTTTTTGACAAATTAGGATACTCTCCCCGCTGGTGTCTTTTCCTAATCTTCCAGCACGACCTATCATTTGTCTATAAGTGAGAGTGTTAATAGGGTTACCATGAAACATAGGAGTTCTTATGATAACCCTTTTTGCTGGAAGATTTACACCTGACGATAATGTTGACGTAGCAACAAGAACACGGAGAGTTCCATTGTGAAAGGCCCCTTCAATGATATCTCTTTCGTCCATGGTTAAGCCGGCATGATGGAAAGCGACACCAAATGAGACAGTTCTTTTAAGAATAGCATCGAGACCGACAGGAGATAGTCGTAACTGTTCCAGAAGTTCCAAAATTTTCTCGGAGTTGAGTTGCTTTCGTAACATTTGTCCTAGTTCAGATTTGGAGGAGCCCAATTTCCAAAATGCAACAGATATTTGTTGAGATAAAGCTTCGCACCAATTCTTGGTAGGACAAAATATCAGTACTGAGCAAGATTCTTCTAATGTTTCTAAACATAATTGTAGAATATTATCCGTATCAGCTTCTAATCCTGGTAGATGTGACAATCTTCTTTCCAGTTTTAATTCGCTATTATAAATTTCTCCAGCTACATAACATTTCTCGAATAAAGGAATTGGCCGAAAAGTGGTTGTGTAAAGCTCAGCTTGTAACCATTTTGCGAGATCTCTCAAATTTGGTAAAGTGGCAGACATTCCAATAATTTGGATATTAACGTCTTCCTTTCTATTGCTCATATATAATAATTTAGTTAACAACAACTCAAGCAAATACCCACGGCTAGGATCACCAAGTAGATGCATTTCATCAACCACAATGGTTCCTAGCTTGCTTAAAGTGCCCTCCTCTAACATTCGATTTATCAAGCTATTTCCTTTCTCAATGGTGCAAATTGCAACTTGAACAGATTGGATTCCACCAGGTGGGTTATAAGAACCCATAAAGCCTTCTACTCTTACCCCAGCTGGTCCTAGTATATTTTGGAAGTAAAATGTCTTTTCTCGAACAACAGATACAAAAGGCAATATAAATATTACCTTTTTATGTCTTTCGAGCACTGTTTTAATTGCAAGAATTTCTGCCACTAATGTCTTACCAGCTGAAGTTGGAGCTGAGTAAACCAGGTTTGAATTATTGATAAGCACATTTTCATTACTAAGACATTCGAATTGCCATTCAAACATTTTACATACATTCCGACTTTTGTATTTTTTCAAAACGATTTCGGGTAAACCCCAGCGAGTAAGGTTTAATCTTTCAGGGTCAATTTTATTATCTCCAAACTTTTGACTAGGGTTACCATTTTCCAAGGAGTCAGTATCCATCTGAGGCACTTCGTATGAAGAACCTTTACTGGAAAGATCACTTTCAAAATCTGTTCCTTTTTCACAAACACTGGGGTGTCTATCAACTTCATCTTCAAATATATCATCACCACTTGTATTACCACTTAGTTTATTAGAGCTTGTTTCAAATGTTGATGAAAAGAACTCACTTAGAAACGCAGAATCGTCTACCGATATTTCTCCCCCCAAATCAACGGAAACCTTTTGAGATAGGCGTTGAGAAATACTAAATGCATGATTTAGATCAGAAGCTTTGCAATGATCTAATTTACATTCAGTAGCATTTTGTTTTGTGAAAAATTTCATTACATTATCAGAATCACTTTTGATGCCTTTTTCTATGCTCGGGCTAAAGGATATATCATCAAATGTATCATTAAAGAACGAGTCGATATTCATAACTAGTAATTACCGCGAATACTAACGGTTTCTGTTTGAATTTTTATGGTTAGGTTACTCCATAGAAACACAGCACAACTTCATAGATAAAAATAAATGCGGATGCGTTCAGACAAACTCATGTTTTAAAATAATACCATCTAAAACCTAAACGTTAAAACTTTAAAACATCTTGAATAAATAATACAAACTCAAAATGTTTCAATTATTACATGTAGATTAAAACAATATTTAATAATTCTTGAACCATTTGAATTTGAATAAATTGAATAGAATTGTAGGCAAAAAAATTAAAGTGATGACTATTTTATTTAAAACTATAAAAACAAAAATAAATTAAGATACGTTCTCAGACATTTATTTATATGTAAAAATACAGAAAACGAAAGCAAAATGTGTATTTCCTTTATGTTGCTACCGTATAAAGCAAAATAACAATTTTGTTAATTGAAAGGTATGCTGTATAATATATACACAAATTTACAATAATTTACTGACAAATTAAAAAAGCTACCTTAATAACACATTTTTTTCATATCACATCCACTTTATTTATATATGTATATGTGCACATTTTCTTATTTTCATTTCTTAATTTATTCGATTCATAAGATTTACACGAAAAACTACACGCGAGATGAAAGTAAATATGAAAATAAATTGACCGTTGGCACATATAAATGCTTCAAAATTTTGAATGAGTAGGTAAACGAATTTTATTGCACTTTTAATACGATAATATCTAAATAAAATGTACTTTTAAAAAATTACTCTCAATTATTCTGTTTCCACAAAACGTTGTTCATGTTTGTTAAATTTTACATCCTCGTAAACATAAAAATATGTATTCACCTAATAATATTTTATGTACCTAGGTTTACAATGAAAAGCTGCCTCACTGCAACAGATATACTGAAGCAATTAAAAGTTTGGTCCTCTTTTAAAACAAATATTTTTCTCTCCAATTTTTTCCTTCTTTGGTAGCCATCATCAAGTGTCGAATCGCTATATTAATGTATAACATTGTAAAAAACTATAAGCTACCATTCATTTCGTCGGAATGTTTCCCCACAACACGCTTGCCAGATGCCCTGTACAATAAAAAAGATTCAATTAAAAATTTTAAGGAAGATAACATCAATTAATATACATATACAATGGTACTACTTATGTTATGTTACTATGTTGTGTTAAATGTTTGTATTATGAGTGCGTGATTTCCGTTAATGTTATGCAAATAACTAAATTAATGACGAAGTGAACACTTTTTTAAAAAGGTACCGTTAAGGCTAGTTCACACTTGTACCGTTTTACGTCCATATTCTATTGCGTTACGTAATTATTAATCTTGAAAGGAAACAACAGCAGTATTTAATCGATCACTAATTTAGAGCATATACTGCAGAATAATTAGTCAAAGTATGATTGACGAAGAGAAGGAGATAATAACTAGTGAACTGATCTGGCCCTTAGCCTTAGATAGTACCTTAAACAAATCGTGACATCTGTCAACGTTTTGTTTTTTTTTTTTGATACACTTAGTATATGTTATTAAATTCTTTAGACGGGGCTAAAAATGTACGTACAGTATCATTAAAATGCATGCTGTTAGACAACAGAAAATAAAATACACAATGAATACCAAAACCTAAGGCATTACATTAAAAGAGTAAATTACAAAAACTGGAAAAAAGTCAAAAATGTCTTTTAATTTTCTAGTGAATTTAGAAACAAAAAATAAAATTTACTTTTTTAATTTTCCTTCATTCTCTTACTAATCATATTCCTACGACAAGTGCTACAAAAATTTACAATTTACTTAAAACTACTTTACAACAAATTTATTTGAATTATTGTTAATAAAGCAATCTATAGAATCAGATACAGATATATACAGGATGATTTAATCATGTAAAAGATAAAATACACGCCACAGTTAAAAAAACCGGGTTACTGTAAAGAAAATAAAGTAGGCAACACTACAGCAACTTTGAAAAAATCAGGTGCATTCAGTAAAACTGAAATTACCCTGGGTGGGTGGGTGTTTTAAAAAATTTAAAGGCAAAACAAAGAGGGTCAATCGAACAATTCAAGCTGACATTTTGTTGTAAACACGAATCGCCCTGTATATATAATACCTATGCTCAGTTTATTGCAAAATAATATTGAAATTGTTAAAGTAAAAATTGTGAATAATAAATTGTATTTGTGTGTGTACGTGTGAGTGAATAAGTGAGCATATTTAGTTAGAGGGCGTTTATTAATTACGTGAGTCGAAATTCCGGCCCCCCTTAACGTGAAATTTATCCTATCGATTTCTGCCCCCAATTTCGAGCTCACGTGATCAATCGATGCCCCTTTTATATTGCGATAAGAAAAGAGAAGAAAGACGTGCCTTTAAAAAATGTGTAGAGAGTCTTAAATGGAATTTGTTGAAGTTGTGTTCTCTAATGTAGGCAAATAAATGTACGTATCCCTTTTTGATGAACTCCTAGTTGCACTATTCAGACAGCAACACCTAAAGCTTGCAGAAAGAATAAAAAAATTACCCGCATACTGTACTACTCTTAAAGACTAATTGTAAGACAATAATAAGAAAAATATAAACATTAGGTATAACAAGGGTATGCAGTCGTCATGCGAAAAATTAAAAAAAATTCTGTACAAATTTTCAAGAGTAACGAATATGTAGTCGAGTCAAATTAGGAAGGCGAAGTCCAAAATAAAAATAATATTTGAATCGAAAGGGTGCTGTGTTAGTATCTAGTTCTAGGCATTTTGTGAAATAGATTGGGCCGTTTTCATTATTAGCATCAGATTGTTACGTTTCAAGGGGGTGCTGTTTACTAACAGGGTTGTTGTAAGCGATGATCTAACTGAATCATAGAAAGTACGTAGTAGTTGAATGCAGTAATTTATTAGCGACTTCGCCTTTCTAATAATTTGATCTAATTCTTTATATTTCTTTTGCAGTTGTTCAATAAATAAAATAATAATGATATTTATAAAATGAAAATTTATTACCAAAGGATAATGAAACCTTGGTAAATAACAAAATTACGCAAATTTTTCTAATTCAAATTTCAAGCAATGTGTTAACTCAAAATATGGTACCAACTGCAACGGAAATATCAAATCAGATATTTAATGAAATCAATAATGTAAAACAAATTAAATTTTTTGATGGTAACCAATTAATTATAATGTAAATAAANAATAAAATACGAAACTATTAGCCTTAAAAAAAAATTAATTGAATTGAGTTATCTAACATCTTTTTTTATCTTTTACAAATTTTGATTTAATTTTTTTATAATTTGATTCATTTTACGTACCTAGACCAAATAAACTGTGCGCTGTAGAGAAAAAACAAAGAATTCTGAGTGATAATTTTTAAATCATGTTAAATATTTAAAACCCAATATTTTCACATTTTTTTAAAAATGCTACAATATAAACCGAGCTTTGGTAAGTACTTATTTTTTTTTTATTTTTACCCTTAATACATACATTAAGAAATTAATTCAAGAACCAGAGATAAGTCAAGGGTAAATTAAATACAAGGTAATCAAAATACTTCTAATAGTAAATTATATAATCTATCGTGCTCTACCAGTAATTAAAATAACTACTTCTACTGACACATGCCTTCGACATGCAAAAGCAAGCGACAGAAAAAAAGCAATCCCTCTGAAAAAAAATTAAATACTAACCTGTTTCCACCAAATAGTCGTTAATCTTTGCCAAGAGCAGCGCCAACACAGAAAGCACAGTAATACAAGAAAGTGTTATGTTCAAAGACGAAGTTTTCTGAAACTAAGGTACAAAATAAAACCTAAACTAATAACTAATTTAGTGCACCTTTCAAACTAAAACCTATCATTTACTTTTATTTTTATTCTATTCGCGTTCTTAAAGATGATTATAATTAAATAGGCTATGCAATCTAATATTCTGTAAAACATTGCGGTGATGATAAACATTTCGAATGTTCAAGAATGGACGGGAGTCATTTGTTAAAAAACAAAAGAATACAACAAATACAAAACATACAGCAATTTGACGTAATAATGATTATAAGCTTTTGGCAAATGTTCAGTAACTTTTTTAGTCCCTCCATTTAAAAAACAAAATGTGTTCAGTAGTGCTACTGTTGTGCTCTTTCGCAAAAATCATTATGAACAAAAGAAAGTAGAAAGCACTAAAATATTTTTTTTTAAAGAATAAGACATTGTTGGAGGGTTAGGCCAGGTTCGGTTGCAGTAAGTTAGGTTATGTTATGAACTAGCTAACTTATTTTAGAATAAATTATATTAGTGCGCCGATTTCTTTTGTTAATAATAAATCTTGTGAAGGAGCACAATTCACCATAACTTTTTTTATTTATTTTTGAAAAATTTAAAAAACGCCAATGTTTTACAGACGAATAATCGAAGAATTGGACGAAAAATGTTGTTAGAAAATTAAACAACTGGAAATGGGATCACAATTTATTGTATTTTTAATACGTAATTGGAAAATAATTAACACATTTCAACGTAAACTGAATAATTGCCTATTATTATTATACTGTTTTCTTTTTTATTATTACAGGCTTCCTTAAAATTAACTTTCATAAAATTATTTCACAGCCCCTACACTATATTCTCTTTTACTTTTAAACGAATTAAACCCCGCTGGAATGACTTAATACAATATTTCTTAGTTGATTCGAACGCATTCATAAGAAACATTTGAAAAGGTCCGATATAACACACCAAAAAAAAGGTCTTCAACATATGTACACAAAAATTTACATATACAATTATTATTATTATCAACATCACAAGAAGTTTTCGTAAAAACAATGGATAAACTCGAAGTATAAGTCGTCTGGATACATTAAAAAAAAATGTAATCAAGTGTAAAAAAAAAATAAATATTGTACAAAAATACTTCGGCAATCGTGAGTAATAAATACGATAGGTAAATACACAGTATAGTAGATACAACCTTGTAATTACGAGCGAAAAAAAAGTCAATCGAATCGTCTAATTACCCCCACCACCACAACCAACTACTAATAATATTCTTTGTTCTCTTGTTTTTTTTTTTTTGTAAATATACAGGAACTTATTTTGTACAGGTGTTTTAACAGAAAGCTGCAAAAGACACACACAAAGCAAAATACGTCATTTAACCATAACTAAAAAAAAAATCACAAATAAGCTTACGCACAATATATAGAGATAAGTATTCTACAAAAATTTGCACAAGCTAAAAGGTAGTAGGGTATGTTTGTTAGTTGCTAATGGCCCAAGAAACAAAAAACTTATACAATTTTTTCGTAGGTAGGTACTTCTTTCATGTTTTTTTTTTTTATTTAACAAGTGCGAAACGTTTTTCTTTTTTTCTTGTTTTACATTTATTTTTGTTTGTTTTTTACATATGTCGATGCAAATAATATTCTGTAGCATGTACTAATACTGAGAAAAGCAGTTTTAAAAGTACATTTTGATAAATAAAATTAAAAATCTTTCCGTTGTCGAACAAAAATTCAAAATCGGTTATTTCACGTACCTACTTCTTATAGAGAAATATGAAAATGTAGGTACATAATCATTATGTAGTTCAAAAAGTGTACTATATACTTAAGGGTAGCAAATATTTTTTAATGTACATTGGATATACAGAGTGTTTTAAGTAAATAATACGATTTTTTTCTACGAGAATTCTATGTATATGTCGAATATTGATTAAAAAAATCATTATTAATTTTTAACTGCTAATTACCCAAAAATAATCATACACCAGATAACAAATATTTTGAAAATATGTGACCTTCCTGTAATTCAAATTTTTGAAACTCAAATTGTAGGTAATAAAAACTGAAGTAGTTCAAACAAAAAAGCTAAGAATAATTTTTCAAATTTTAATAAAATCCCTTGAATTGATGCATTTCGATTGAAATTTAGTTATTTAATACTTTTTATTTATAAATATGAACACCTGGGGTTATGGAGGTCACGGGTGTTAATTATTCGTTTAATTAATGCATTATAACAACATTATTAAATACGTGCTCCATTTGGAAGATACCATCATAATTATGTAATTATTTTTTCNTATATAATAATTTCAATAAATATATAAAACATTGGCCTCTTTTTATATTGTAGCATTTTCCTTTATACATACTTAATAAATTATGTATAACAGTTTTCTACTTTAAACGAGCATTACACTGATAAAGGCATTTTTTTAATTGTATTTAATTTATTTTAATAAATGAGTTACTAATATATTTCAATTTCTTTTTGTTAACAAGTCGAATTGATTTTTTTTAAAAAATGAAAGATAAGACCATATTATATTACATACGCAGAGTGCTATGAAAAAGTACATCATTCAATTGTTTTGATTATCAAACAATAAAAAATTATGTTTGTTGTAGTAACCAATCAACGTCGCGCTTATTTGTTATAAATACAATCAAAAAGGCAAATCGATGTTAACAATTGAAGCACTACCTGCGCCGACATTGGCTTGTTACAATGGTCTTGAAATGATATATTAGACCATCAATTGAAAACTTTGTAAAAAATTTACAGTTATACTTCTTCAAACCAGTTCTGTGTAGATGCTACATAATGATTTCAAACTAATTGTAAAAAAATGAGCATCATCATCATCAATTCGAATACTTAAAAAATAATTGATTTCGTTCATTGATGTTGTTCAAATATGATTTTCACTTGTTTATTTTCGTATGTTTCTTTATAAAAGTAAAAAAATGCCATTCCTGTATTGGCACATCGTGAACTCTTTTATGATCCATTTACAACGAAATGCTAATGTTAATGAGAAATTATTGTTTTTGTTAAATTGAACTCTTTTTTATGTTCAATTATATGATTCATAATGGAAGACTATGTTCCTTAAAACTTTTAGACAATAATATAATGTGACTATTTTTGAGGTAATCATTTTTGATTATTACTTTTCCAATAAAACGAAAAATTTAATTACTTCAGGTTGTGCATACTTCTAATATCACGTATTATACCTGAATAATATAAATATTTTTATATTATTTTTATTATCAGATAAATCATCAATAACGTACCGTAATATTTCTGCCGTGGTATGTTAAGTATGTCGTACAAGTCGTTTTTAATATATCAATTTATTTTTAATTTTGTTCAATTTTAATTGTAAATTAAACTGTCGGCCTGTATTGAGTGTCATTTGATCGCGAATACGTAATAATTATTTTAAATAAATAGCTTTTCAACTGTTAATTACTTATTATTATATATAAAATTACTTCTGTAAAGTCTTAAAATTTGATGTAAA